TAGACTTGAACATTATATTGTATCATATGATGCATTATAATGAACCAATTTTTATTTAACAACAAAATAATGGTCCAGCAATATGCTCACCCTCTCCACTTCATAGTCGTCTGCTAAAAGAGCCTCTTCTTCATCATTGCCTAGATCATATTCTTCATCTCCAAGATCTTCGTCCAATAGGGTATCGTCACTAAACAAGTAAAAGTTTAAATAAAAATAGGTACAGCGGTCATCAAGTTAAAAATCTCTTTTAAATATATTTAACATATTTTTATATTATTAAAATATGTTTTTTCAATTAACAGATACAATAAATTCGTGTTAAAATATGATAATAAAATATAATAAGAAATTCACTAAACTTGAGGAAATGAATTATATACAACAAAAAGTAATCAAAACCATGTTTATTAAAGTAACCATTAGTACACAATAAAAACAGATATTATTTTTATGGTTATCATACTTCTTTGATATCCTGCAAATACAATCACTGTATTTTACGAAATGAATTTTAATTGCAAAACCAGTAAATGAATAATTCACAAAAAGATAGAATACAATGGATGATGGAAAAAACACAATGTACGTCACTATTAACAATGATTATAACTCTAACCTCAAATTAAACATAGCTATACGGAAGAAATAACAGATTTATAATTGTATATAAAATAATTCTGAGGTTAAATCGAATAGTAAAATTATATCAGAACATTAATTTTCTGTAATGGAAAAATAAATATCTCTTACTGTTCCGACATTGTACATCCACTTTCTGATACTTGAAGGAAAATCTGCAAACTGTGATGGCACCGAGACCCGAGATAACGAGCGTTGCGTAGCTCACATCGATTGTTACTTTCGAGGTATCAACTTCCTATATCGAAATCTCGAAATAATATCGAATACAATATCATAACAAATATAGTAATGGCACATATTATTCCTGCCCTTGCATATTGCATTAATTTCATACACTACATAAAATAAACAAAATTGAGTAAAGTACCACATATAAATCATTAATTTAATTATTAGCATTTTAATGGGCTAATACTATTATGTTTGATACGGTTATGTTTGAATTTGTGCATAAGTGCAAATGCAAATAACTTAAGTACACAATATAATTTTAACATGTCTATATATGTATATATACTTATACATGTATATACACAATATATGTCCACATATATTATAATGTTCTAAATATAAATGAAAAGAGTTCATGTTTAATTTAAAATTGGGAATGGCATATAATACAGGCTTATTGTTTCACAAATACTTATATAAACATTCTACAAATAATGTTAAATTTTCACATTTACATAAACGTAATTTAAAGTTAGTACAGAACTTTTTCCACAGCAAGCCTACTATAATTTTAGGAATAGAATCTAGCTGTGATGACACAGCTTGTGGAATTGTTGATAGTAAAGGACAAATTTTAGGTGAAGCAATTAGTTCTCAATATCTGACACATTTGAAGTAATTAAAAAATTTTGTTAATAATTTTTCTTATAATGCTTATGTAATATATTATAGAATCTTTTAAGATGATTTAGAATATAACTTTGATGTTTTCTAGTCTTGGAGGAATAATTCCATCAGTTGCAAGAGTATTACATAAAAACAATATTACAAAAACTTGTGAGAATGCATTAAGAGCTGCAAATCTAACGTTAAAAGATATTGATGCAATAGCTACAACTGTAAAACCTGGTCTTCCTATGTCTCTTAGAGTTGGAACACAATTTGGGAAATATCTAGCACAGATTGGGAAAAAACCTCTTATACCAATACATCACATGGAAGCTCATGCTTTAACAGCAAGAATGAGCAGAGAGGTCTTTTTATAAAATGTTCATATTTAATATATTATAAAATTTGATTAATAAGGAAGATATAAACTAACTTTTAATTACAGATTAATTTCCCATATCTTATTTTATTAGTTTCTGGGGCCCATTGTTTACTAGCAATTGTTGATAATGTAAATAAATTTTATTTACTTGGTACTTCTGTCAATAATGCACCTGGGGAGATGTTTGATAAGGTAATCATTGCATTGTTGATATCATCTCTTTTTTAACTATCATAATTTTGTTTACATATTTTTTAATACATTTTTAATTCACATAACTTAGATGAGAAATAGTAAATGGATTAAATTAAATTACTCTATAAGTTTACATTTATAGGTTGCACGAAGACTCAAATTAAAAAATATTCCAGAATTTAGAACTTTAAATGGAGGCCTAGCTATAGAAATTGCAGCAAAAAAAGCATCAAACACTGAACAGTTCTTTTTTCCACCTGTAATGACAAGATACGATGATTGTAATTTTAGTTTTTCTTCATTCTTAACTCTTTGTAACAAGTACATTGAATTAGAAGAAAGAAAACATAACATAGTGGGTGATGCAGTGATTCCTGATGCATATAATTTATGTGCAGCACTTCAATTAGCTACAGTGACACATATTTGTCATAGGACTCAACGAGCAATGGAATTTGTTAATAAAATGTCATTATTTCCTAAAAATAAACAAACATTGGTACGTTAAAAGTATGAAGAACACTGCCTTAATTTGATATATATGTGTGTTCAATATATATTGCTTATTTTTAACGAACAGGTTGTATCTGGAGGAGTAGCATGTAATAATTTCCTAGCTGAAGCATTGAATATTGTGAGTACGGAATTAGGTTATAGCTTTATAAGAACTCCACCTAAATTATGCACTGATAATGGGACGATGATAGCATGGAATGGAATAGAAAAATGGATTGCAGATGTAGATATCATCAGAAATCCAAACGAAATTGAAAAAATCGAAATAGAAAAGACGGTTCCACTTGGAGAAAATTGGATTAAAAAAGTAGAAGCAGCAAAATTAAAGTGTAAATGGGTAAAAATAAAGAAAAAACTTCTAAACAATTAAAAGAATAAAATGTCAAATACGTATATTGTTATGTTGCAAAGGTTATTAATTACAAGGTTGTTACTTTTTCATTTCTGTATATACTGTTTTCAAAAAATATGTTTTTGTTTTGATTATACAGTGTTTCAGTATGGATACGTTGTACTACCCGTAACAAAACACCATGTAATTCATTTAAATAAATATGATAAATTATAAGAGTGTCGGCGCATATTGCTGCATTTGTTTTTTTAACTTTGTACGTAAACAATCTTCATTTGAATCCATATCTTGAATGGAAATTTTTGCTTCTTCATATTTATCAATAATATGCCTAATCTTTGTTTTAATTTCACGTATCTCATCTGCATTTTGTAAAATTAGAGATGTTGTTATAATATCATCAAATTGTAATACTCTTTTTGGTTGAATTGATTCATCAAATTCTGAGAGAAATTCTGATAAATTATTTAATTTTAGTTTAATTTCATTATAGATTTCATTTGCTCCATTTGTATCCATTTTATTTACTATAATCATTGTAGGTCTATCTAGCAAATCAGGATTATAAAGTTCAATTTCCTTATTTAATAAGAGCACAGTTTCTAGGCAAGATCTATGTTTATGTCTTATAGAAAATTTACATCCCTGAATGTCTACAATAAAGAGCAGTAATTTTGTTCTTTCTATGTGTTTTAAGAATCTATGACCCATTCCTTTATTAATATGTGCACCTTCAATTAAACCTGGTAAATCTGCAACTGAAATCTCTCTGTGATCTTTATACTTTATAATACCTACTTGTGGTTTTATAGTTGTAACTGAAAAAAACCAAAATAAGTAAGAAAAAATAGTATACATTTAACTAGTAAAAAAATAATGTGTTTTATACACAGTAAACTTACATGGATAATCTGCAATCTTTGATTTAGCTTTTGAGATTGCATTTAGAAATGTACTTTTCCCTGCATTTGGAAAACCTATCAAACCAACATCGGCAAGTAACTGAAGATCAAGAACTATAGTGCGACTTTGACCTTTAAGACCACAATAGCCTGTCCTTTCACATCCCCCTATTCCACCTGTAGCAACTACCAATTTTGTATCCTTTGAATCCATTGTACCTATATTTTAACAAATAGATATCATAAACAATCAAGAATAATTATTGTTATTTATTATTACATGTACATTACCAAGTTTAATGCGATTTTGATCATAAACGGTGATACCAATTGGAACCTTTATATTTAAGTCTGTTCCAGGTATTCCAATGAGCCCCTTTTTGCTACTATCGCCTCCTGTTCCTGCTTTCAATTTCATATTTTCTAGTTTGTATTTAACATTTCGTAATGTTAATCTTTCTTTTGAGACAAGATATACGTTTCCTCCTGCTCCGCCCATTCCACCATAAGCAGGTAATCCAGAACCGCCGGTGCCTCCACTTACGTGAATACGCAAACTGTCAATTAAGCCTTGTCGCCTATATTTCCTTGGTAACTAAATAATTAATCCATAAATCCTTAATCTACATATTTGTAAACTATGTTGTCTCTACTCTATTACTATACTAATTGAATGAAAAAGGAATATTAAATATGTTAAGATTAGATTACCTTTGCTGCACAATATAAAACTCGTGTTAATACAACCATTCTTTTTTTATAAAAAGTATATATATACTGTATTTGTTTATGTACATATAAGATTAAATTCGGTTTGACTTTGCTTTTGGGGGATATAAAACCATTGATCTTTTCTTTGTCATTTAATAATTTTTAGCACGTAGAATCCAAAAATGCAAATCTTAACTTTAGAAATCCGGCAGTTTAAAAATTATGCATATCTAAAGTAGAACATTCATAGCGTATTTTACAGGTTAGTATTATTATTATTGCTTAGTCCGTACCTCTCGGCTTTGGACTTTTCGGTTTTACATCTCTTATGTCTATTTCTCTTCTTATATATCTACCACCCTCTCTTTTCCACTCTATTCTATATTTTATTGGTTAGTACAACGCCATATTGATTCTATCCATCATCTGATTGGTCTACACAGATGAGCATTGAACTGACTAACTGTATCGTATATTAGTTTGTGCTTCACTAGTAATCCATGAACAGATGGATTTTACCAGGCGACGCCAATTAGCAGCTGGGAGCCGCAATAATGTCTGTAGTGGATAAAATAAAACATTACCAGCGAAATATTGAAAAATGTGATGATAACGAGGATAGGGTGTGTATTGTACGCTAATTTCTATATTCTTCATCGTATACGATGATGCAGTTTTATTAGTATCGTTGAATTATAACCTCATAATGAAATCCAAACACGATTCACATCAATTTTATTTCTATCAATTTTAGCATTTATATATTTGTATGGTATTGTTCTTATAATAAAAATTGTGCTAATTTTAAATTGCTTCATATATTATGGTCTTCACAGCTATAATATTTTTTTCCTATTATATTTTATTTATAATTGTTTGACAGGATAGTAGGTTGTAATTAATGTATTGGCTATAATATATTATTTCAATTGTGTTACAGATACTTCATTGTATTTCAAAACTATCTAATCTGCCTGTAACGGTGCAGCATCTTCAAGAAACTGGTGTAGGACGCACAGTAAATGCTTTGAGGAAATATGATGGTGGTATAGGAGATGCTGCTAAGGCGCTTGTTGCAAAATGGAAAGCAATGGTTGCTAGTGAAGGAACTAGTGAAGGTGAAGATGAAGATGAAGCATGTGTTCCTGATGCACCTGAGAGCTACAGTGACAGTCGTGAGTCTCCAAAACCTGAGGAGAGTCCTGAAAGGTATGATAGAAAGAAATATGACTTTTATATAATTTTAATGTATGAAATAGATATGTTGTATATACAACATTATATATTGTAGCATGTAGTAGTTAAATGTTGAAATAAAATATAAAAATTCATTTTATAAGATGCAAGATATTTCTTACGATATTAAACATAATAATATCTTTTTCTTTCTAATGGTATTTTTATTTTATTTTATTTCATTTTATTTTATTAATTTTTAAGTAAATATGTATTTAACTAATTCTTCAGGCATAAAACTGAAGGAAGTGGAAAACATATTCATAGGCATAAGTCAGAAAAGAATGAAATGGCATGCAACAATAAATATACTTCTAAACATGAATCAAAATTGAAATCTGTTGAAGATCAGTCAATAAGTAATAGTGATATTGCTAAAAATTCAAGTAGTGATCTAGAGAAACAAAAAAAGCATGATAAAACTAAACATAGCCATAAAAATGAATTGGGAAGTGATAAAAAATCTTCAAAGGATACTAAAAGTGCCTGTAGGAAAGATGAAACTCACAGTTCTAAACATCGTAGTCATAGTAAGTCTAATAACACAGAAAAACATTCTAATAGACATATGGATAGTAGTAACTTACTCAAAAGTAGCGACGAGGCTCATAAACGCAAAAGTGATGATTCAAATATTATGAACAAAGAAAGTAAACGAAGGAAAATTTCAGATAGTGACAGTGATGAAAGTAAATCTCATGCGCATCCTCATGTATCCTATAATTCTGAAAAGCACAGTAGTAGTACCATATTAATTTCAGTTAAAATAAAAGATGAGCCTAAGGATAAAGACACATTAATTAAAACTGAAATTAAGCATGAAAAGAAAGACTCTCATGAGAAATCAAAGAGCACCTGTAGCAAATATCGGACTGACTCATCTTGTTGTAAATTAAAACAGAAATATGAAAAACAGAAATATAAAACTGATATACATACAAATCATAATAAAGATGAAACTAAACATAGTGATCAGCATTCTAATAAGGATTCTTCCGAATCAAAACATCACAGTTCCTCTTATAAGAAACATCATAATAAAAGCAAAAATAGATGTAAGAGAAAGGAGCATAAAGATGAGAAAGGTAAACATGAAAATAAAAACAATACAGATTCAAAGCATTTAAAACATGGATCAAAAGAATCGAAGGATTTGGTAAAAATAAAGCAAGAAATTAATGGAGACGAAGGAATAGATTGTCATTCAGGTTAGTTTATAAATATGTTGTTTATAAATGTTTTTATTTAACATTACCAAAAAAAGACGAATCTTTTATATGTAGTTTTTAATATGTATAATATTTTATATCTTTCACTGTTGTATCCATTTTATAATTTTTTAAATATTCAGCAAATTAAGTACCGGTAAAATATTTATTTGTTTAATAAACTAGTTCTTTTATTTTATTATTTTAAATCATTATTTTTGAAAAGTGTTCTAAATAGTGTTTTTTTGTATACAGGTGCTAGCTTTGCAGAAGCATTGGGTATGTGTACAATGGCTCAGACATCCAGAAAACGTACTAACAACTCTCCAAATACAAGTACAGCAAAAATGTTCAAAGCAGAACAATCAACTGCAAGTAATAAAAAGATAGCAGCCAGAAGTGAATCAACAAGTGATACTTTACAGGTACTTTGTGCTATATAATTAATAACATTATATTACTTACATTACAGTATATAATATAGTAATATAAATATAAACATAATGCACATTTTCTATTATAGACACCATCTCTTTTAACAACAAATATGAAGTTAGAGCCATTAAGTGTAGACTTGGCATCTACATTACCAGAGATTAGCCCTAATTACAAGCCACTGCCATATATTAATCCTGTTTATCGCAAAGAAGAAGATAAAGCTCTTACAGATGTAATGTATGTTAAAAATCAAAGGTATGTTTTGTATTACTACGAAGATATATACATATGAAAGCAATATGTTCATTTTTAATTTTAATTTTAATTTTAATTTTAATTGCAAAGGACAAAAGTATATTCAGGAAATAAATCTGGTTATACAACAGTACCAACTTTGTTTGAGATATGTACAAGGGTATTGATAGAGAATATCGATGGTAGGTTACCTATGACTTATTTATGAAATGACGTATAGCGATCATTCTATAAAAATATTCTCTAAGTATTTCTTTCATTTGTTATATGTAGCACTTGAATTTACTGGTGGTGTGCCTTTTGATATTATAAAACCTGTTCTTGAACGTGCAACAGCAGATCAGTTATTTATGTTGGAACATTATAATCCCTATTTGGTTGAAGACACAGATAAATTATGGAAATATCACTGCAATCGCGAATTTAGAAATAAACAAAGAGAAGAAATGGAAACATGGCGCGAGATGTATATGGTAGGTAGATTTAAAACGAACAATTCTCCTTATTTGTAATATCTTAGTTTATTTCGTATTTATTATTTCATATTCTTTTATTATTTAATAGCGATGTTTAGACGAACGAGAAGCAAAATTGAAAACGCTTACAGCTAATATAAAACAATCAATAGACAAATCTGTACCAGTAAGATCCACTAAACTTGCATATGTAGATAATGTTGTTAAACCTCCAAGAAATGTTCTTAAAAAGCAAGCTAAATATGGCACTGCAAATTCTGTACCTAATACTGCATCTACTATAAAAAAGAAATTAATTAGTGGTGGAGGACCAACAGCTGCTACAAATATTTCTGTTCCATCACCACCTGTATCACGTACAAAACCATGTAAGTATTTTTATACACGATGATAAATTACTGACATATTTTATAAGATATTATGCATGTATATACGATGGAATATCCTGCATGGTTGAGGCATGTAAAACAGGCCAGCTGAATATCTCGGCTGCCCTTGGTGATAAAAAAAAATGCATCAGACTGAACTTGCTCAGCATCGAGGGGTACATACTCTGATGTAAATAGCTGATGTAAATAATAAATAGATGATATAGATGATCGTGTAGATGGACGCGTAAAGGACATATGGAGGTTAATTTCGTTTTTTTGAATGGAATGATGTTTTCTACGTAACCATCTATAGAGCTTTTAAGACGCGTATAATGACCTGTGATTCAAGGTCATTGAAGATAGTTGAAGGTCAACTGATGACTATGACTATGAAAATAGTTTACTTTTAGGAAGTGATCGAACATTCCGGTGATTTATTTATTTAATAATACATTGCTAGTGCATTATTAGAAAGCTATTGATATCAGATTATGTACCCTTCGATGCCAAGCAAGTTTAATCTCATGCATTTTGTTACGTCGCGTAACACTCTACCTAGCCCAGGCCACACACCGCGGGCAATATGGCAACCAGATGTCTTCGGATACTCGCAGCGTACCCTCAATAGCCTCAAGTACCTTCCATAAATCTCATAGATTTCCTAGTAAAGGTCCTATTTCTGAAGAATTTCTAAAGACTATTGTCTACCACGGCTGGACAAGGGAAAGTTAGTTTTTCTCACGTATGATGCAACTTTCCTCCTACTACCCACTTCCTCTCGAGGGCGGTTAAGACCCTTCGTTTAACCAATTAACGACGAAGCCTATTTCCCTCACTCTCTTAACTAACATCGGCACCAACGAATCCGATGGTCCCGTGCGCTAGACACACCCATCCTTAGCTTTCCTCCGACACATCATCGTCTCCCAAGACAGTTCTGATTTTACATCCTTCGAACGGTCAACATCCTTCCACCGGGTATACACACCCGCAGATCAGTCACTCACTCATCTCGTACGCACCAGTGTAACTGCCTTCGTTATAAGTTGTGGAATAAACGGTGAAATATAACTTACTACTGTGTCATATTCATTCAACCACCTCTGTTATCTTCATCGAAACAGGGGAACGACTACTTCGCGGCGTCGATTCACCGAATCGTAGCGAGAATTTACGCCTCTCGCTGACGCGTTTTCCTCGCGACCGCGTCTCTCCGCGAAC